CTGTATGTCTGTGATCAACGGAGATGGGTTCGAAAGTTCATCAGTATACAAAGAGGTACCATGACAGAGAGTAGGATCAGTCAAAGCCGCACCATAAGGACTGTCAATTACAGTGTGCAACCAACTAGTGGAAACCGCATTAGCTACATCAAAGTTTTCCTCATCGTCTTCATTGGCTCCACGATCAGCTATCGGAGCCGCTTGTTCATCTGCCGGAAGTGCACGTTGCTCAGGAGATTCCTCAACACACGTTGCTGCCGAAGTAGTCGGAGATGGCTTCTTCTTAACGGACGCTTCCACAGCTGTTGGCTTCCTAGCCACAGCCTCAGCTCTCGAAGGGGAGCGGCACATAGCAGCAGTGTGCCCTGTTCCTCCACAACGCATACATGTGACCTTTTTACCAACCACCAATCTGCAATCACTCCTGTTATGCCCTGTTCGGCCACAGCCTAGACATCGTACCGAGAGATGAGCTGGGAGATCCTTCTCACAAGCTGTGGCAGTATGGCCTATCTCTAGGCAACGAAAGCATCTGTTCTCCCTGGATAGACGAGCATAGTCTATCCGCACAGATTTGCTGCTAACATCGGAAGCAGTCACAACAGTAGCAGCCACCGGAACCTGTCGTAGGGTAGGTTTGGAAACCAACCGATCTTGGGCCCGTGCACGGCTAATAAGCCTTATACGAGCCTGTTGTACTGACACACCGTCCAATCGATAGGAAAGAGCCCAATCGGCATATGGCTCTCGTAGACTATTGCAGAGACTATCATAGATATCCTCGTCCGAAACGCAGACGCCATTCAATCTCAATCTATTCACGATGTTGTCGAGCACTTGCAAGTGATGAACTAGGGTTACAGAAGGCCCTTGCGTGAGAGTGTTGAACTGTTGTCGAAGCGACACGACATCTGTGGGATCAAAATAACGTTGACGAAGCTCGGCTTTAAGAGATGCATATAGTTCCGAAGGCTTTCCCTGAGCCAAGTCACAGGGTGGCAGGGCATCACGCACGGTGCTGTCAATGGAGTACAACAACACAAAATAGGCCGTCGGAGATGACAGACTGATGGCAACTTGATTCAGTAAGCGTTCAATCGAAACCATATGCTCAGCCAAAGAGGGCCCATCACTAGTCACCTTCCATACCGGATGCCCGCTAACCTTCATCTCCGTGCGAGCTTCCTTGCGAGCGTCGAAGAAGTTAGTAGTGGTAGCAACACCACTGGCACCCTCAGTAGGTGAAGTCTCCCCATCGATTTCTGCCAAAGTCTTGAAAGGCGAATTCGTCTTCCTTGGAGCCATAACTTGTTCTCGGATGATTGTTGCAGATCAGGGATGAGAGACAACGTACTCGTAGAACGCAAGATACGATCGGCTGCTGACGAGGGTGTATACTACTCAGATGGTAGAACCAACTGTATGTAACTATGTCAGCTACTTATGAAAGAACGAGAGGAAGTAAGATAGCAAGATTGAGTGTCCGATCAGCAACATCTGACCGCACAAAGCTGTCTCTATAGGGTATTTAGCGCACGCCCATGTGCTCCGGCCATCCTACTCGACACTAATTATGCAGCTTCAGCGGAGATTCGCTAGTAAATCGCGTTATTGAGCGACTTATGGCAATCCCACAGACCGTGGAGACAAAAGGATGGCATTGGTGCGCATCCGACTAATCGAACATTCAGCATCAGTGTGGGTCCAAATTGCAGAGATTACCTTGGATCGTCTCACTCTACCAGGAATTCATCGTGAGTTCAGTGGTCCATGCTGAATTATTGCCGACTGTGGGTCCTCGGCCCCCAACAATTTCCTATACCGTATAGGAAAATGTTGGGCTAATGTATCGTATAGGCTATACGAGAGTATGCAAACGGATTGGAATCAGAAGGCGAGTCCGCCTTCATATGACATCACGGTGGTGAAGTTGAAACAAGAAGGTATACTTCACGTGTCAACTCTTGTGAGCCAGTGTGAAAGCACCCTGTAAGACTAATAGCCCGGTCCTACGCCGCCATTGGCGAGCAAGATCCTTCGTGTCGAGTTTGTATATTCCCATGACTGAGTCGACACGGTTTGAGTTCGATATACCGAGTGCTATTAGTAGTCTGATACCACAAACGTGACAGGTTTCCCGTTGCGGGCATCCATCATCGCTATGGCACTAAGCGCGCGTTGGTTTATTGGACCATATCTGTTGGAGCGATATCCGCACTGTAGCAGTGCCACTGTACGAGTTCAAGCATAGTCCCGTGACACGAGCCAGTGCTGCTGGCCTCAACTCTACTAGCCCAGTAGAATTAAAGAGGCCTCAAGAGCCTACTTTACAGTTGATGCCCATAAGTGGACCATTGATAGTAACTTTAGCAACAGCCGACACAGTCAGCGACAGTCACGACTACAACATCATATCATGCATGCTCCAACGAACTTCTGCATTCCTCACGAGTAATCTCGAGACTAATTTTCCATGTTCGTATTTCTAACGGCGAAGTCCGAACCGTAAACTGTCGAACTTGTCAGCTGTCGCGGCCCCTTATCATTCGTAGAGTCTGAATAACTAGATGTACGCGTGAAGATTGCAATTGACGAATTTTCTCCGCCGTTTCCATTTCGATGTAAGCCGCGAAAAACACATTTTTTTGCTAAAAAAAAGAAAAATTTTTCCCATTTACCTGTAGGCTGGTAGCCTTCGTAACCTGGAATATTATGGGAGTAGATCTCAGTCATGATGATCTTGTCGGAAGCCTCGCGAACATTCTTGCCCAAAGCTTGAGAAACGACCTGAACCAACTACATGATCGTGTACACTGAAGGGCTCCTCACGGAAGGGTTGCGCACGTTGGACGGTATGAAGCCCTGATACCCTGGAATGTAGGCCTTCCCTGAACACGAGCGTCTTCACTTGCCATAATTCTCTGTAGGGGCTCACCTCTAGTTGTGCCGTCATCTAGTCCCGTTACCTTAACTGGTAGTTTGGATGCATTCCGACTGACGGAGAGGGAAGTCATCATGCGCTACCCCACCCCAAAGAGAGGAGACACCTACTCTGAGATGAGATCCCTCGGGGCACTTCCGTAGGCCCCATAGCGCTCAGTGAACGTCGAAATGCCGGTATCCTCAGTGACGCACCTGAAACCGTGACAGTCATCTCCTTGCAGTCGCTCGTGACGGTCACCTAGCAGGAACAACAGCAGTCGATCCACCTTTGACTTGTGGCTGCGTCCCTTTTGGGCTCCAATCGCCCTGACTTCTGGAATTTATGAAGTCAGCGCGATAGGAAGTCTGAGAGGAAGCCTCGGGGAGGTGATACGGAAGATTTCACCGTCCAATGGTTCGCCCGGGACAGTTCGTGTGCCTTGCGGTCGAATTCAGTCGCTCCCTCAGGCACTTGGTCTGACCGCTTCGCCTGACGCTGCCTATTCAACCACAACCTCAGGGTGAGTTGAGATGATCTCCTCGTACCTCCGCTGTTCATACCGCTCCGCCAACTCTTTCCGTTGGACTATGCAGTCCATGTTCGTTACATTGGAATAGCTCGTACCATATCTACGAGTTGTCTACAGTCGAGGTCGAAATACTCCTTCACGCTCACTCAGATCTGTCGGTGGATGTTGTGTGCCTTAGATAGGTGTGGTCGGGTTGCCGAGAGGACGCTGCTGTCGTGAAGGTTGTCACTCTGACGGGAATTTCCCTCAGAAAAAAGAGATCAATTTTCTCACATATCGTGTGGAGGCATTTTCTCATCTTGTCCTGGTTTCACTCCTGGTGGTGGTCTTTCGCCCTCGGGTAGGAATACGCTGTGTTGGGCTGTTCTCTTGATTATATAAGCCATTGTTGCGAACAAGAAGACTGTTGATGAAACTGTCGTCAAGAGGTAGTTCTAATATATAGTCTTCTTCCCCCTCGCGGAGAGACTCTCGTGTTAAACTTTGCGGTACGGTCTGATTTACTGAGAGTCTGTCATGGGCCACCACACATGGAAGAATCTTGATGACAGTCAGATGGTGTCTGCGTACAACTTGACGATCCTCCTGGAGGACCGACATCAACAACTAAGTCGAATAGTGTCATCGTATGGTGGCCATACGATAACAGGACTCGATGGTTTACACCATACTATGGTGTAAACCATCTCGGACCTGGGAATGGGCCTGCTTGAGCTTGAGCCGAAGTTTAAACGATTTCCAAACGATTATGCACTGCGCGAAAACGGTGAGCGATAATGTCCGGTTCTATTCGTCGCTCGATATAACCGTTCGAGCTAGGATTTGTTTCGTTGTCCTAAACCACGATCAAACAACTGTAGAGGG